GGCGGGTTGCTGTGATGGCGTTGCAATGCAGTGATGTCATAAATGGGTGGGATGCTGTGATGTCCTTGCAATGCAGTCATGTCATAAGTCTGCGCGGTGCTGTGATGTTGCTGCAATACAATAATGTCATAAGTCTGCAGGAGGCTGTGATGTCACTGGAATGACGTCATAACATTACAGCTTTCCAGAGCAGTCTCAGGTCAAGGCTCTGTGTCCTTTCAGACATGCATGACCGCAACTGTTCCCTAGCGAGCTGGTGAGTAGGGACGTGCGCAGGAGCTGGGACACTAGTCCTCCCCCGTGGTGGGGGAAGAGAGGAGGGTGGCACCTATCCCAGACAAGAAGAAACCAGCCTGGGGCTTCCCTCCCCCCAGGGCCAGCAGGAGCCCAGCCAGGGCTTCAAGTCTGAAAGCTGTCAATCAGGGGGAAGGAGGGGGCTGGTAGCTTACAAAGGGCATATATGTATGTATATATGTATATGTATATATACATATCACTTGCTTAACATGCTTGCTATATATATATAGTCCAGGGGTCTCATTGTCTTCTTTGCTATCCCTGCCCACTCCCCGTCTAGGGAGGCCTTTGAAGAGTCTGTGCCAAGTGTCCCTTTGCCAGGTGGAGTTGGCTGCATCTTCTCCGTCCTCTCCCGCTGGTTTCTGGTAGCCGCACTGGAGTTCACTCAGACGGCGTTAAAATGTTTCTGTTTCCCCGCGGTCCGTATGTCTGGACATCAGGATGCTCCTGCACTTCCACAGGACGCTCCTGACGCAGGCCACGAACGGGTCCGAGCGGGTTGCCGGGGTCCCCTGATGTTTCACCAGGTGTCCGTACAGCGCCGTCTCCCTTGTCATCAGCCTGGTCCCTATCACCTCTTCACGGAGCCGGTTTCCCTGTTTCCACACCCCCTCGTCAGATGGGCAGAGCCCCTGAACCAGACCTGCCTGAGCGCTGTGCAAGTGATGCAGCTAAATGTGGATTCAACTGCACCCGATTACGTGCATCCCTTCGTCTTCACTGACTGCCGTTCTTGCATGCACACCAGCCCCTGGCTGCTTTACTAGTCACTCCGTCCAGGGAGAGCACACACCACCTCCAAGGGAGGTGGTGCTGGCCCCTACCCTGGGGATCTTTAAGAAGAGGCTGGATACTTACCTGGCTGGACTCATTTGAGTCCCGTTTTTGTTTTTAGGGTGAGTGTTTGTGTTTTTTTTTTTTGGGTTGTTCTCCCGCCCTGGCGGGGGGTCGGGCTAGAAGATCTATTAGGTCCCTTCCGACCCTGAAACTATGAAACTATGAAACTGCAGATGCTTCCTGAGCCTGACAAAGGGTTTTTAAACCCAAAAGTTTGCTAAAAAATGTTTTTTCCAACTATCTAGTTGGTCTAATAAAAGAGATCAGATTCACCCAAAGAGCCTTGTCTGCCTCTGAGGGGGACAGACACCCAGCATTCGCTCCCGTGGGTTGAGCTGTGCACCTCATAGCGCCGCTGGATGGCGCTTACACCCTGTGACGCCTCTTTTACAGAGTAGATCTGTGTGGTTTGCACCCTCGCGCTCTGGGCGGCACCCTTCGAGACAGGAAATATATCTATTTAATGTTCGTTTCACTTTCCTTACTTAGCTTTCATTTAAATACGCCGGAAGCTTAAGTATCTAACCTTAAAAAAATGGGTATCAAAAGCTTCAAGTTTTAAAGAGTGAGCTTTAATAGCTTAGCTTTAATTTAGCTGTAATGGAGCTGTATAAGAAGTATAATTCATAATGTATCCATCTAGATCTGTATTTATATATACCTATATCTATATAAATCTAGATCGATACATTATGAATACTTATTATACATATAGAATATATAGAGATCTATATTTCTATATCTTATAGCTACATATCTATATCTATCCTTATCTATCTATATAGATATGTCTCTCTCTAGATCTATATGTTGCTATAGAGATATATAATATAGAGAGAGCTATATAGATATATAGTGAATTTACATTTTACTCGCTGTAAAGAATATAATTTATTTGCTGGCTAGTCTGCCCCTGGTTTCTTCGGGGGGGGGCAAGGGCCTCCTTGACTTCCCAGCGGTCGCCATGACCACGTGGGTTGCTCGCTACTTGCTGCTCTGTGACGCAAGCCTTCCGCTTTCTAGCCATTTGCTGGTTTGGAACTACAGTTCCCAGAACCCCCCGCGCGGCGCCCGCGCAGTCGGGAGCGGAGCTGGCGGGCAGAGGCGGCAGGGACCGGAGCACGGAGGGCAGGGGGTGCAGGTCGGGAGTGAGGGGCACCGGCTGGGGGGGGCAGGGGTTTGGGGGGGCACCAGCAGGGCAGGGGGCTGCAACATCCCCCTGGCCAAGCTCAGGGCACATCCCCAGGGCAGCCTGGGCTCATCCCGCCTGTTACCCCGCTGCCTGGGGTGCTGCGGGGCGCTACGGGCCAGGGCACGGGTTGCGGGGTGTCGTGAGAGCATGCACAGTGACTGCTCGGGGGCTCAGGCCCCGGACCGTACGTTTCGGATGCATGAGCCCCTCCTAAGTAGTCACTGGGCCCAGCTTGCCCGGGAAGTGGAAGCTGCAACATTGTTACCGCACACAATCCGCGGAACAACTTTGTGGCTGGATGCGTGGCCTGGGATGGGGAGGGTGTTGGCGGGGCGCGCCGGCTACTGCCTCCTGCGTGGATCTGTCCCCAGCTCCCGCGCCAGCACTAGGGCGACGGTTGGGGCCAGGGATCATATCCCTTTGTGGCTTTGATTGAATCCATGTCGGTGGTTTATAAGCACTCGCGCTTTCTGAGCCTCCGCGACGCCTTCTCAGCCCGTCGGTCTGTCTCTTGCCCCAGGCATAGCTGGGCCATCCCCACGGGAGCAGGCTCACGCAGGGGTTCGCAGCGGTCGGCGTGGGTTTGCTGTGACGGTGCGTTTAAGATCCTTTAACGCGGGGTGTCTGTTGTGTTTGGCCCCCTGGGCAATGAGGCCAGGCGGGTTTAAGGGAAGAGAGAGGAAGCAAATGTTGGAAAGAAAGGTGCGGAGGATGGAGAAAAAGAGCAGTGTCTGTCTGTTTGGAGAAAAGGAGAAAGGTGGGGAGAGGGGATGAGGGCCTTGAAGAAGAAGTGGGAGCGGGGTGATGGGGACGGGGGACAGTTGGGTGTGGGAGAGGACTTCTATCGGGATCTGGGCGCGCCTGAGCTAGCAGCCACGGTGGCGATGCCATCGGGTTTGGCATTGAAGCAGGATGAGTCAGGAAGATGGTCACAAGCTAGAAGAAGAGCGCTAGAAGAAGTTGCTGCCCCTGCCCCATACCGCTGCCAGCACTGATGAGAAGAGGGTGCCCACTGGCTCTGGCGTCGCGGTTTGGCACCTGGCTGGCTCCTGCCCCTCTTGCCAGCTCCCCGGGGGGGAGAGAGCAGGAGGTGCTGGGGGGGCAGGGTGACTCATGGGCACAGGAGTGATACGGGCCTGGGGAGATGTCCCCTCCTGCACCGCATGGACCGACCTGTCCCTTCTCCAGGGATGTCCCTGCTGCTTCCCTGCCCCACGCTGTCCCTCGCGGGCTCTTTCCTGACCTGCTCTGTCCTCTGGGAAGATTTCCTCCAGTCTCCTGGCCCCTGCCTTGGCCCGTGTGAGCAGTGTCCGGTTGGGGACAAGTCATTGCAGTCTCAGCCCCGAGGTCCAGCGTGTCTGTGCCCAGAGGTGAATCCAGGCAGGAGCCAGTCCTAGAGCTCAGGGGGAAACTCCTGGTGGTGGAAATGGTTTAATTTCCAGAATTAAAAAAAGGGTCTTTGGTGTAAAACAGGAAGTCCCAACAACAGTAACACAAAATGCTTCAGTGAAAAGCTAAACTGCAAAAAAAAAAAATGCACACTTGCACAGACACTCAATGTGACCATATTAAACTAAATCATCCTTTTGGTCCCACAGCAAAAATGTTTATTTAAAAAAGTGCGGCAGTTTTAAACTCAAAACTTTGTTTTTTTCCTTGAAATGCCACCTCCTTTCCTGGAGAGAGAGGGGCAGCCATGAGCTGCAAACAGCCCTTCCTAACAAAGTTCTTCACCTGTTCTCATGCGGATCCTCCCCTTGCTTTTCCCCTTGTTTCCTCCTGCACAAAGCCCCAGAGCAGAGAGCAGAAGGGGGAGGAGGAGGAGTGGGGAGGCTGCAGAGGGAGTCCCTGCGGGTGTAGGGGGACATTGCTGGCCTGGGGCTTTCCTTTGACAACCCTTGAGTCCCGGCTGGAGCCTGGGAAGGAGGGGACCCGGGGAGGGAGCCAGGGGCAGCGAGCGGGGGCGGCCCCGTCGGGGCCCGCAGCCAATCACCGCCGGGGTGGGGGGACGGACGTGCAGGGTTCAAGGTGCTGCCGGGAGCACACGTGGGGCAGGTCGGTGTGAGGGGGTCGGGCAGGGGCAGGGGTCTCTCCGGAGCCCCTTACCTGCCCCCCCACGGGACAGGGCTGCGGGTCGAGGGTGTGGGGAGCGAGCTGGGAAGGGCTTGGGCTCCTGGGAAGGAGCAGAGGGGCCGGGTACATAGGGGGCTCTGGGCTGAGGGTTGTGGGGTGGCCCAGGGTCTGTCCCCGCTCTACCAGCAGGAAAGAGGCACAGCCTCGTGGCAATGGGGCAGCTGGCCACATATAGGATCTATGGGGCTGGGCAGGGGCAAGGGGGGGGAGCTGGGAAATTTATTGGGGTTGTGAAGGACGAGGGGGGATCTCAGGGGCACAAAGCTGGGAGGGGGGAGCTGTGGGGGTTTATGGAGCCGGCCCAGTCCCTGCAGCCTGTGTCAGGGCCGGAGGGAGGCAAAGACACCCCGAGGCTGCTCTGAGTGGGGGGGTAATTGGGGGCATCAGGCAGGGCAGAGTCAGGCCCCGGGGCAGGGGGTCACGGTCTGGGGTCTCCCGTCACAGGTGAAGCCAGAAGTAGAGATGCAGGAGCAGGACAGGCCCTGGTGTCGTCCAGGCCAGGGCAGGGGGGCAGCCCCTTGCCCGGGGCGGGGAGCGAGCGGTGGCTCGACCCTTTGCAGCAGCAGCAGCACCGTGCGTCCGTGGAGGAGTCTCTGCCAGGACGTTTGGTTGGGTCCGAACTGCGACAGGTCGGCTGTTCCTGTCCTCCCCGTGGGCCTGGGACCAGATGCTGCGGCATTCCCAAGCCCTCGTTTCCCTGGGTAAGGCTCTGCTCCTGGCTTCTCCCTGCGGCCATGTGAGCGCCCACGTTTCTTGTCTTCTCCCTGGTTTTCACCTGTCTCATCCTCATGGCCGGGGCTTGAACCCCACGTCCTCCCCATTGCTCTGTGGGGATCAGGCCTCTCCCACGTTTCACACTGATATCTCCGCCTTCATTTCGTCCAGCCGCCGTCCCCTGAGTCTTCCCCGTTCGTGTGACTCCTGGGGCTTCCCTGCGCAGCAGTGTCATGGCAGCGCGGTCTCCCTTTGCCTTCCCAGCGTCTTCATGTCATCTCCACTTCATTGTGCCGACAAATCCACTGCCAGCTGTTCCTGGGATTTGTGCTGATTTCCTCCCTCTCTCGCCTAGCGTGTCCCGTGCAATCACATTTACACTGCAGCGTGCTCGGCTCAGTGCTGGCGACATCCCCTTTCTCCCCCGTTGGAGATGCCCCGGCAGAAGGTGATGGAGTCGTCTCGGCCTCTGCTGCTCCCACGCGTGGATGCTGTGTTTCCTCGGCTCCTCCTCACCTCACGCACGTGCACGCGCTGCAACCCGGGTCCTTCGCACCAGGAGTCACTGCGCACGTCTGTCCACGTCCTTCCCAGCAGCTTCATCTCCATAGCCCATGTATTCTGGTTTTACTGGACTTGCTTGGAGACCAGTGCTCTCAAGCTCCCTCTGCCATTGTCCAATGTTTCCTGGGTCAATCTGCTTTACTGGTGCTTTCTTTTCCCTGCATTTCCCCCAAAGGATTTCCTTAGGGGCAGGCTCATGCTTTATCTAACTCACCAAACACCCCATAGACCATTTCTACAGTATTGGCTTTCACATGCAGGTGAAATGTGTCTCTTTCTGTCTTCTCTTGTCCATACCCCTGACTTCCAGGAACTTTTTTCCATACCCTTCAGTATTTGCCAGCCCGTGCACTCATCTCCCCTTCTGGGATGATGCTCCCATTGGATGAGAAGTTGCTTTAGTTGCAACTACAGCTATTGTAAAATCATTGTTTCCTTTGCCCTGCTGATGCATTACCCTCTCTCCCAGAAGAAGGTTTCATAATCAACTATTGTCCGGGATCATTTTCATTGCCTTGCGTCCTGGTGTTAAACCTTCAGTGAGTGGCAAACTCATTGCCACTCCTTTGCCTCAAAGTTCACTGATAAGGTAAGTGTTAATCATCCAAAAGCTTGTCCAGTGTCCCTCCATTTTGGTACTTTCAAAATAGTAAACGCTTTATCTTTCTGCCTTGTAGTCCAGCACAGATCACTGCATCTCCACCCTGTCCCTGGTGACTATTAGTCATTAGATTTTTCTACCTACAAGTGGTTGGTGCTTTGTTTCCTAGGACCGCCGCTCCACTACCCGGGTGATACAGACCATCATCTATTGAAGGCTTCTCCCTGCAGTGCCTTCCCTTTCACCCGAAATGTCCATCCTCCCTTTTCCTTCAAGGCCCCAGGAGAATCCATGACTTGATTGCATCCCACTTGGTTATGCTGCATGCAGTGCCAAATCACAAACCCTCTTTAACCTCTGCCCCAAACAGGATATCGAGGTCCCACCCCTGACTTAATCTGCCATCTCCAGCGAGGCCAGGGGGAGCTCAGGGAGGAGCTCGGGGAAAGCTCACAGCGGGAGGACCCGGCTGCAGGTGAGTTGTCTCTACCCCGTCCCCTGCCTCCCCTCTCAGAAGTGCTCCGTGCCCCGAGTGACGGGGGTTGGAAACTGCAGAGCTGCCCGGTGCTGCCCTTGCAGGGGCTGACCCCATGTAGCTCATGCTGGCACGTGTTGTTCCCACTCCCCGAAATGCAAAGCTTGCGAGACAAGCAAGTGCCCCTCTCTGCTCCCCCTTGGTAGAGCTGTTAGGGGACATGTGAGTTTGCTGTCTTGATCGTTAGGCACAGATCTGGTTTCCCTGGGGTACCAGGACCTTCGATTTCCATCCTCACTCAGCGGTGTAAGAGCTGATTGCCCAGCCCAAGGTACATCCCCCTCTCCCAGGGCATGCTGGGAGTTGCAGTCCCCCATGGAAATCAGCATGTTTAGCAGAAGCGCTATGCATCTGTTATTGCCGGATGGGGGAGAGGCTGGGGCTGTCCCTGGTTTCTCCAGGTCATGTTGACCGGGAAGATGAGAAGTGTTGAATCCTGGTCTCAGGCTGGATAAAATGGCACCAGCTTTCATGTTGCTGGTAGACGTGACTCCCCCATTGTTTGCACCAAATCTCCCCTTCTTGTTTTTCCTTTGGGGCCCCGAGCATCGCAGGGCCTGAGGCTCCGCACAGTGTCCACACGCAGGTAATGCCAAAGCCTTTATCCCAGTGCAGACTCCAGTGACGTGGAGGTCACCTGGGACTTGTCAGCAGACGACCCCTCCATGGGCTCATTCCCTGCCCAGACCTTTCCCTGGAAGCAGTTTGGAAGTACAGCCCTGCTGCTTTTGCAAGAGAGAGCCACCACGCTTAAGTCCTTCCTTCCCAAAACATTTCTTGTGGGTTGAGGGAGGAAGGCTGTTGGCAAGCAGAAGCAGCCCTCGTGTGAAGCACAGAGGCAGGTGGGGCAGTGCAAGCCCGGGCTCCCCACACCTGCCGACAAACCCCAAAACCCAGCGTGAGGCTGTTCACCCTTGTATCCAGATGCTGCTCTCAGCACTGCCAGAGATCAAGGCGAGCGCTGGAGAGCAGCCTCACCAATGCCCTTTGGCATCTGGAGCATGTCCGCGCAGTCAGGTAGAGGGTTTGGGATCGTTTCCCCCTGGACTCACCGGTGCTGTGGGACAGAGGAGGCATTAGAGAGCCTCTTTCTTCCTTTAAGCAGATGCCTCTGGTCTCCTCCTGCACCCGTTAGAGCACGAAGCCATTCCAGCAAGGCAGGGACTAACATGGAGTTTCTCTTCCCCTTGCAGGAGGTGCCTGGCTGCCTTCCCAAGCTGAGCAGCAGCCTCCTGGGAAAGGGCCTGCAAACCTGGAGCCCCCACAGCCTTGCCCAGGGAGTCGGGGTGAGATGGACGCCCCGAGACCTGAGGAGGACCGATGGCCCCAGAGTGAGGGGAGGGCCCCAGACCAGAAGGAGGTTGCGGCAGTGGACCAGGCAGCGTCTCCAGTTGGCCATGGGAGTGGGGAAGAGCCAGAAGCCAGAGGGAGCCCCGGGTGCAAGGACGAATTTGTGGAGCTGAGCGAGCTGGAGAGCCACAAGGCCGAGTTGCAGCAGAGAGAGAGCCCGCATCCGAACCAAGGCAGTGGGGAGAGCCTTGCCAAGTCCCAGGGGAAAGCCCAGCCCTGCCCCAAGTGCAGGAAAACCTTTACCTGCCCCTCACTCCTGGCTTTGCACAAGATGAGGCAGTCTGGGGAGAAGCCCCACGTGTGCGCAGAGTGCGGGAAGAGCTTCCCCTGCCTCTCGACCCTGAGCGCTCACCGCAGGGTGCATTGTGGAGCGCCCACCCACCGCTTCGCCCAGCGTGGGAAGAGCCTGGTGTGCAGCCCAGAGCTGGTCAAGCAGCAACCTGTGCGGAGCGAGCAGCTTCGGTACCTCTGCGTCCCGTGTGGTAAGATCTTCAGCCAGTTCTCGTCCCTGGCTCAGCACGGGAACATCCACTTGAGGAGGACGACACACCGCTGCACCAAGTGCAGGAAGAGCTTTGCCAGCCAGCAAGACCTGTCCCAGCACCAGTGTGTGCAGAGCCGGCAGCAGCTACACCGCTGCATCGCTGCATCGAGTGTGGGAAGAGCTTCAGGCACTCCTCCGACCTGTCCAGGCATCGGCGCATTCACACAGGGGAGAAGCCATTTCGGTGCTCGGTGTGTGGGAAAAGTTTCCGGCACTCCTCCAACCTGGGCAGGCACAGGCGCTTGCACACAGGAGAGAAGCCACATCGGTGCTCTGTGTGTGGGAAAAGCTTTACCCGCTCCAGTGACCTGGCCAGGCACAGGCGCTTGCACACCGGGGAGATGCCACATCAGTGCTCGGTGTGTGGGAAAAGCTTTATCCGCTCCTGTGACCTGGCCAGGCACAGGCACTTGCACACAGGGGAGAAACCACATCAGTGCTCGGTGTGTGGGAAAAGCTTTACCCGCTCCAGTGACCTGGCCAGGCACAGGCGCTTGCACACAGGGGAGAAGCCCCATCAGTGCACTGTGTGTGGGAAAAGCTTTACCTGTTCCTCCAAGCTGGCCAGGCACAGGCGCTTGCACACAGGGGAAAAACCCCATCAGTGCTCTGAATGTGGGAAGAGATTCAACCAAGCTGTCCACCTGGCCAAGCACCAGTGTGTCCACACAGGGGAGAAGCCATCAGTGCTCTCTGTGTGAGAAGAGCTTCAGTCACTCCTCCATCCTGGCCCGGCACCAGCGCATCCACACACAGCAACATCCATAATCCCGCCAGCAATGCAGGAAGGGCTTGTGGACGCCGCCCTGCTCAGCACTGCCCCGTGGTTGCATTCAGGCAAGCAGGCTCATGCTGGTGGAGTGCAGGAAGGGGGCACCCATTGTAGGGCAGTGCAGCGCCCAAAGGACCCAGAGACCGGCCCCCAAAGTTTGCTGGTAACACCTCCTGCAGATGCCCGCAGAGGTGCTGGGGGAGGCTGAGAGGAGATGAGCTTTGTATCAGCCTTGGAGCCTGTGTCTTCCCAACTAAATGAAGCCAGTGCTCCCAGGGAGAAAAGAAGTGCCTTCATAACGGTGCCCTCCCCAAGACAGCTGGCTCCAAATGACACCCCGGGACCGTCCTGGGCTGTCTCCCAGCTTTGTCCTCCCTCCTGGTCCCAGGGTTCCTCTATGCGAGGCCCTTGAGGTGCAGCAAGGAGGACATTTGTGGCTGGGAAAGCATTCCCAATCCTCCACCCTGACTTCACCTTTCCTCACCACCACATGATCTCTGTACTGTGCTGGGTGGCTGCAACTCCCCCTGCCCTCCTTCCCTTCATTGCATTCATTATAATGCACCCTTTGCTAATAAAGCCCCAGAACTGGACATGGTTTCCCTGTGGTTGGTCTCTGTGTGCTCTCCAGGGCAGTGAGGTGGGAACAGAGCAGGGCCCAGGACCCTTTTCCAGGTCAAATCTTTATGATTTCCCTGGCCCTCCCCTTTCCAGAGGGTTAGTGTAATGCAGGGTTGGGGCTGACCTTGGGGAGCAGGAATTGGTCACGGTGCTCCCACGTCCCGTGCAGCAAAGGACCCTGCCCTGGGGGCTGTTGAACAAACCTCTGGTGCGGGGCAGTCGAGTCCCTTTTCTGGGTGAAATGTAGCAGGGGTGAAGGAGGTGCAGGCTGTGGTCAGGACGTGCTCTGCGTGAAATGCAGCAGGTTGTAATCTCCCATTATCAATATCAGTGCTCCCGTGCTAGTGCCATTTAAATCCATGGTTGCCCTGGAGGGGCTACTCCGTGAGGATAACCCATCATTGAGCACACTCTTTCATTCCTCTTCCCCATCATCGTCCCCTCTGCCAGTGCATAAAACCACCCCCACTTTCCCCGTATTACAGTGTTTAAGAAAATAACCTGGTGACTTTTGAGTGAACCTCGGTTGCGTCTTCACTAGCCCTGAGTCCAGAGGCTCCTCAAAGGCGCTCACACTGGTTTTGTGACATAGTCTAATAGAGACGAGGATGGTGTGGTACAGACATAGCTTCATGAACACCTGTGTTCGGGGCCCTGAGCAGGGTTGAATATTAGCACAGGATGGGGCTTAAGTCCACCAAGGCTACAACTAACCAAAATGGATCAGGCCCTGTGTAGGGATGTGGCCAGCCTCCCTTTCTGCAAAGAGAAAGGCCAAATGAGTTGTTCATTCCCACAGCAGCTCCGGCAAGTGACTGGAAGCATGGGAACGTCCCACTGGGAACCTGCTGATGAGGTCAGGCCTCTGCTTTCCCCCATGGCCACAGCCATGTAGGGCTGCAATTCCCATATGGACGATGGCATTCCCACCAGGAGGGATAAAGCCCATAGATGTGTCCTTTTAATTCCTCTCCCCTGGGTTCAGTTTGCAGAGACCCAAAGGGCTGCTGAGCAAGTGAAGTTGGAGGTGGTTGTTTAGAGCCCTGTTTCACATCCCACGTGGCCTGTGTCGGGTTTGTTGCTGACTTGGCTCACGTGAGGAGCCCTCTCTCCACCCCGCTGGCATCTGGGACGGTGGTCCTGGCACGAGAGCCATGGATTGCAATTGGAAAGGCGGAGGTGGTGAGCAGGAGGATTTTACAGAGACAGTTTTTGGTAACCTGTCAGAAAGGGAAGCCCGCTATGGGGCATCGAATACACTTGCAGTGAGCTCCCCAGGATCCTAACCCAGTGCATTTCTGGGAGATTTCAACTGTCTTATACAGGCAGGAGTTAAAAAATGGGGGGAGAAGTGGAGGGAATGGACAAAACCTATAGACCATTGAAACAAATTGTGGAGGAAAACAGTCTGCAAATATGGGGAGCAGAGGCCCAGAGGAGGACTAGATGTTCAGGAGGGTTGAGGGTGGAGACCTGTCCTTTGCCCACTGGGCAGGCCCCCCTACGAGAGTCTGCTACAGCCTCCAGATGGGAGGCTCTGGGTTACAGACATTATTTCATGCAGGTGGGTGATTTCTCTCTAGCTTGCACTTTCCGCCTTTTGGCTAAGGGCAAGCGAGACTTGGGGGCATCTGAACCCCGTGACCTCCGGGCTTGGGACTGGCATGTAGGATGCCTGCCATCGTGGACTTAAAAATTCCTGAAGCCCCAGGATGAAACGTCTGGGAGGGAGGAGACTTGCTGGTGGTAGCGCCACACAGACTGGAATAGCTGAACTCTGCTCCATTGATAGAACTGGGAACTGATTTGGCCAATTTGGCCCAAGACACAAACTGAATTAATAAATAAATGTCAACCCGCACACCTCTCTGCAGCTTTGGATCAGGATCTGTGTGATGTCCCCAGCCCCAGAGGAGCTTTTTCCCTCCCCTGAAGGCATGCTGAGCTGCCTGGTGAGCTCAGCTAATACCAATGTGGGGGGCAAATTGGGCCCTTTTCGACCCCCCACCATGGAGGGGGAGAGGGTGTGACGGAGCGGGCTCTGAGGGCAGCTGGCAGGGCCAGGAGGCTTTTCCGCTTCACTTCCAGCTTCATCTGGGTCACTGGGGTCTGCCCCGGTGGCGACAGGACAAACAGATCCGAACCTCCCTCATCCCTAGGAAGGTCTCACACGACTGGTTGCAGATTACAGAAGAGCCCTGGGTTTTATTGAGCAAGGGGGTTACCCAATGAGCTCCTCCTTAATGCCCATCCTCCAGACTCGTGCTCCAGATAGGAAGCCCCCGGCATGATCCTGTGCTAGATCCTGCCTGGGCAGGGGGTGCTCCTCCCCTTGCTGAGTGCAGGAAACACTCCCCAGCTGCCTGAGATGCTCCTTCAGCCCTGCGGTGCCTTTGCTAACCCAGTTCCCAGCCCCTGCTCAGACGGTTATTGGATCTGCACCACGCGGTCAATGCAACGCCTGGCCCCTTGCTCCTCTCTCCTCCTAGGTGGGCCCCATCAATCACCTCAATATCTCGGCTTGACCTCCGCAGCGGTAAAAGGCAGCCCAGCCCAGGTGGGTGCAAACCCCTGCCATGGCGGAGGGGAGTTGCAAGCCTGGACTGCTGCACTGTGCTCTGATGGAGAGTCCCTCCGCAAGAGGGGCATGTGGCCGTATAGACCTGCCTGGGAGAGGTCTGAATGCAAAGCTTTCAAGGTACTGCGGTACCTCGCACCCCTCGCTTTCAATGGGA